GGGGATGGAGAAGGACGGGATGGAGGAGGCGGCTTATTTTTTAAGCTGCCAAAAGAACTGCCCTGCTAGCTTGCGTTTTTCACTCTGTGCGATTCTGATAGTAAGAAAGAAAAAACATTGGATGTGTTTGCTAGCTAGAGCTGAGCCGACCTGATCCCAGTATTAATGTGCGCTCGGAAACTTTTGTCCTCAGCTACCGTGACATGCGACCAGAACTCACAAGTGCAAGTACGACCTAGGTTGTATGACCTATTTGGGACGTTGGATTTTCGTACTCATTGTATTCTCATGCTCAAATTGCAAAGCCTTATAAAAACATGCTCCAAAGTTGTCAATTGATTTTCGCGTGCACGAGGGGGGCACTGTGTGTGAACTCTTTGGTAGCCCTTGAGAGAACTACATGCCTGACTTACAAACATTATCATGCATGATAACGAACACATACTTCCATCAACATCATGGCAAAATCAAGTTATTTATGCCCTCCACTTATTTGGCTAATACTGGTTACAATTTGGAGTTATTTATTTGCAGCGAGATAGCTCCCTACATCTTGCCAACCAACGGATCAAGTGTGGATATCCACTTGTTGTAGTCCATAGGAGAACCAGAGTCACTTAGTGGTATGCCATTAACAAAGTAGTAGGGTGTTCCGGTGACGCCTCGTGCACAACCAAACTACAAAACAGAGAAAACGCACGGTGAATAATGCGGCTAGAACAATACCAAATATAAAGTATGACATATAATGCGCTACAAGTTCAACAAACCTTGAAGGAAATCCTTGTGGCCTGATCCGACTGCGTGTCATTGAACCCTGCTTTGTATGCCGCCAAATTGGCCTCGCCAATGACGGGGGCGACAAGGTTGCTCGCTATTTCGGCGACCACCGCTGCTCTTGTTTTGGTGTATGTCGGCGTGTTGTAATAACCCTCCTGAAATATAACCATCCTTTAAATCTCCGTGGTTGTATTGTACGTGTGCGATATGTTGTGATCAATTCTGAAGGTATTTATCCCTTGGAGTATAAATGAAAGTGCCATATACTGTGGTTGATGTATGCACTGGAAAAGCCATGGTGGAAAAGCAAGCTGTGGAATATGAGCTTTTGCTTGTATAGACGATGATGCTTGGCATGGACAAACAACATTGCATTTTGGTTTCATCCAATGGGATGTGAGCAGGGTGCTTCTCGGTTCCCTCTCTTTGCCTCAAAAAGCTACATTGCACTGCACCTAGTGGTGCTTCAAAGCAAATACCTAGTCAGCTCCATCTAAAAAAAAAGCAGCAGCACCTCTCCTATGGTGAATATTACCGAAATACCCTCATCTTTTCAAAATGTTATGCTTGATTTTTCTCCTCTCTCTCTCTCTCTTTTTGCACCTTTTGAAGTGTGATACAGTGGGTAATAAAGAAGCAGGCAGGCAAGAGATAATTAATTAACCTGGTATTTGAAGAAGTTTTCGAGCAGGGGATACACGGCTGACGCATTTAGCTTGTGCACCGTGTGGATCGACCGGCAAGCCATGAAGGCGCTGCTGTGGTAACTGCAAATTTCACAGAGAAAATCACGTCACAAATTAAACCGGTTAAAGTTTCATCAGAGTTACTCTTGGAGCTGGTGAAAATAACTCGTTTATGATATTTGTAAGCCAAAAGTGGTCATTGTATCAAAACAAAATGAAAAAAAATGATTTCTTCTTGTGGGGATTTTTTTTAATATGATGGATGATGTAAACTGAGTTTCTAATGAAAACTTTCTACTACCATTTTTCCTCTATCTTTTTTGCCAAACATCGCTGTACCGTTGACAAGTTTTTAGTTCTATCAATGATGTTGTCATGACTTGCACCTCGATCATATGCCTTATCATTGTGTGTTTGCCTAATGCATGGTTGGGGCATCTTTTATTTTTCCTTTTTCTCTTGTGAGTGGAGGACGATTGGATTGAGCAAAAAGCAGCCCATATTTTATTCCAGGAATACACAAAAGATATATATGCAACGCTAGCATGGAAGAAAATAATAGTGGTGCTTTTGTTTTCTCTAGCTACAAAACCCGACCACGCTCTAGGTGGAAAGTAGGTGAGGTGTAACAGATTTATAATACTACCAAGAGCACTATAAGACCGGTTTGGTGTGTCCATAGAAAAAGAATAAAATCTTGCCTTTCATTTTTATTTTTATTTTGAGGATCAATCTTCCCTTTAATTACCAGTGTGCCACCCCACGAGGAACTCTTTTTTTACCATTATTTTCGGGCAAATTTAATACAGTGAAATGGACGGTAGCTGGGAACACAACAAAATACTTCTAGGAAACATTGGAAAGGGCTCCGTGTGTTCAGTCCACACGTACGCCTGTCGATATGTGTTGGCTGCCTAGGCCTGACCTGACGCCGTCTGAGCACAAGCTGGTCGCAACTCAGACGTGCCACGCGTTCCTACTCATTTGGAATTTTGGCTGGATTTTACTCGCCGGATTCACAAGCAATTACTGTACTTATACTTACCGAAGCAGGCCACGGCTGAATTTGCTACTAGAAAGTAGAAACCGAGGTAGAAGAATCCGACTGACTGAGGTACCAAGACCACGACGATCGATGATCCCTATGCAGGAAAGAAAAGGAGAGGATGGTTTTGATGGGTGACTTACGGGAGCGGGAAGAGGTGGACGACGACGGCGACGCGGCGGGCGCCGTAGTGGGCGGCGGCCCTCTGCAGCGGCGGCCAGGCGTCGCGGCTGTCGGGGCAGACCGGGTCGAAGAAGGCCTCGACGACCACCGCGTCGCCCCACGCCGGCGCAGCCGCGTGGCCCCCGTACACGAACCCGTCCGTCCTCACCGGGATCGGCAGCTGCGCGCCGCAGCGCCCGACGACGGCCGCCAACGCCACCGCCACGAGCACGAGCAGCAGCGACGACGACGGCACACGATGGCGCCTGGGCTCCATCGATCACGATCACGATCGCTCGGCCGGGGCTCAGCTACCTAGCTTTGCTCGGGTGTTGAACTAACACAGGAGCACGGCTGAGCTTAACTGGGTACTCCTACTAGCTACTGAGGAATGAGATGGAGGCGGGGCATATATGAGCTTGAGCGGGGGTCGTTAGGAACTTAGGATAAGCGACGACGAGAGCTAGACAAGACACCATGAGCGCACTGTGCACACGGGCAGCCAGAGGTGCACATTTGCATACGCAGAGGCGGACATTTCGCCGAAAGCGAAGCGATCGAGGCGGACGGACGGCTACCTCGCAACGACTTGATGGGCGTGCCTCATGCATATTCCAGGCCATGACATCATACGGATGGTAGAATGATGC